CATTCTTTCAAATACGTCTGAATCCGGTTGTGGATTCCTCAAGAAAATTCACATTTCACGAAAGTTCTGCAATCTCAATGGAATATTAATAGATGAATCGCTTCTAACTCACTACTGGGTTTTGAGAAAGCTTCTTACCCATAAGTAGGTACGCACTGTTGTGTTGGTGTGATTTTAATCTGGGACTGGTTTGATCTTTGAGAAAAACCAAGGATCCTGGTGCATAACCACTTTTGAAGTAGCCATTGTCGAAAGTACTAGTTACTTTATTATCCAGTAGAATTTCACTGCCCACATCTTTTGTTTGTACAGATGCAGCGAGATGATCCAACATACATTGTGCAAACCTTTTTTTGTTTTACCTGATAGATACTAATCACGAATGATTCCGCCAAGTTTGAACAACTGGATGTGGCCTGTGCGCAGCTGGTCAATCGGTTGATTATCCTTGTGAGAAGACTCTCTGGTACGTGATATCACATTTCGGAAGTCTGTATTCTGTTCTTTCGTCGGAAGTTCTTGTAACTCATACTCCATCTAATTAACCATAACTACATGAACTACGTCTCACTTCGTTCAAGATGATTCTTCATGCTGGGAAACTGTCCAGTTTTCAGTTTTTACAGAAATGAACCCTGCGCTGCAGTGTGCCGGAATTGGTTGACATCAGTTGGCAACCACTGTTTAACCAAAAGTTGAATAAAGGCAGGCAATGCTGGGTTTATGTAAGGACAAAATGGGGGATAGCATAAAACAGTCTGACGAACAGTAGAGGGGTTACATTTCACATCCAGGACGGCCCACTGTTCGATCTAAACTTGATCTGAACTTCGGTACTTGAAATAAGACATGGCAAGATCAGTATACTTTTTTAGATGAACAATGGCCCCAAAATTGGGCAGTAGGGATAAAGCTCCAAACTCCTACCTTGGAGCAGCCAATTAACCGCGTGATCACTATCTTCTTATCGTGCAACGTTCACTGTTTACGCTCAGTTATATCCTCACAACGTTCAACATTCAATTAAATGTTTTTGGAAGATTCCGCTAAAAAGCATAACATGGTTAACGTAACCTAGTTTAAAAGTGAAGAGTGTAGTTAATCCACTCGTTTGAGGATCCTTTTTGGCTTTCCGGTTTGTTTTATGCAGCGAACTTCCTTCCTTCATGCCAGAAGCGGCCTCGAGTTAACCAAGCGTCCGATTCTAGCCTACCGATGCCAACTCTTCAGGGTCTGTTGGCTAGTATGCATTTGCTCAGTCGGTGCAAACCAGAACTGTTTCGGATGCACTGTGAATACCTAATCAACTTGTTGCGTAAAGCCCCACTAGCTGCGCTCACTCCCACACCAAACACGGTGGTTGCCAGTTCTACTAATTCACCGGCCTCGTCAATACAGGGTAGTGATACCCTCCTGGGATTGGATGCTCAATGCCTCTATCATTTAATCAGCGTGATTGAAATGACCCTGTTATCGATTTCTTCGGATCCTGATCGTGATGCTGTGGATTCTAGCCATATCAGGTGAGTAACTGTTCCAATTATGCAAAGACATGCCGGTTACTTTGTTAAAGTGAATAAATATACTCATCTTATTGACAGTTTCAAACAGGGTTGATCTATCGATCTCATCAGTAAAGTTGACTCTCGGTGATTTGTAAGCGTGAATTCAAATTTTTTTTTAATGATGCACAAAGATTCACTGCCAAAGTACCAGGTAGATTATACCATCTGCTTCACTTTCTGTTTCGTTTTTCTTCATCTCATAATTTTTAAACAGTGCTCATCGACTCACTGATCTCCAATTGGATTTGGTGCGATTGATTCAACGCCAAGGTCGGCTCGTGGTTGACTCTGCCTTGTCTTGTCTCGCAACCTTGACCAATCGCGTGCTGAAAGAACACACACAAATTGTTGTTTGCTTTGCTCAGTTCTACGGTGAGTTCAATAATCCGTGTGATTATGCTGTTTCTCGCACTGATTTTTCTTGCGACCAATGGGGTCTGCTTTGCGTTTAATATAGTATCATAATTGGCCTCATCATATTTGCACCTGTCGTTCCTATTTTTAGGCCGGAAACATGTTTGGAAACGTCCGAAACAACAATCGTTCTAGGGATCAGGAGCTAGGAAATTATGGAACTCGTCCCAGTTGGCTGAGTTGTAGTTCCATGAGGTGTCTCGAGGTATGTGGCGGATCGGGGTAGGCCAGCTTAATAGAGCAAGAAACAATACGGTGATCCGCTGAGACAAGAAGAGGGAGAGTAAAACTATCCGAGAAGAAAGAAGAGGTTGAAGTGAGAATAAGATTAAGGGTGTGGGCACGGTCACCTACTCGATTAGTGACACGTGTAGGGAGGTCAACTAGTTGGCTCAGGTTGTTGACCAAAGCTACCAAAGCGGCTTGGCACCCCAAAAAGACTAATGTGTCAACGAATCCTGATTATAAATTTTGAAAGCTGGCAAGATGGTAACATGACAGTTGCAAACAAGCATTCAATGTCCGACGAAAAAATTACAGAATGGAGGAGTCGCCACAATAGGGGAAACGATATAGAACACGAAAGTAATGGTTACAAAAAGTAAGTTGGAACTTCAGCCTCATCAACTGAAATTTACAATTGGAAAGTCAAGATTTGTGATTCTGGAGGCGGCGACTAATTGGTGGATAAAGGCGCAGACACTAGCCTTTGGTAGAAAGGAGGAATGGAAAGCTTAGTTGGGGTCTCGAAGGTAGATGCTGTCTGACGAGGGGGAGATTTCTGTGTCGGTGAAACGAACTTCACTGATCGCTACCAAACTCGCAATGCATACAAAGTTGGTGGTAATGTGTAAGATGAACAGGGATTGAACCTATTTCGATGGGGTGGGAAGAAGGTGAACCTCTAGAGTACACAATCCAACTGTACATGCATACCGTTTCAAGCATTCAAGACCGATGAGAAATGACAAGAAGAATGCCACTGCTATCGGTTCACTGTCATATCCTTCATTGTCTCCAGCCAACCGGTCGTAGTCTTTCGGACCCAAACCTGAAGGACGGGAGACTCTACTCTACCTAATAACTCCGTGCCTCGTTTCAACGGCATCTGTTGACTTCACCAGGTTTCCTCCCACCCGGAGCGGCTACAGCGAATTAAGAGCAGTGCGGCAGACGACAGCTGGACATACGCACTACTTGCCACTACAAGCCTAGTCATTTGCATTCGCAGGGCTAACAAGTTTATCCCTGAAAAACTTCCACAGAAACGATGGCTTACCTTCATATTAGTAACCCATTCGTTCCATCCCACGAGCGCCAAACTACGTAAACACCGATGATCGAAAACGTTTAGCCTGTGGATATCTACTCGCAAACTCAAGGTATCTTACCTTAAAACAGAAGTAATTGAATGTTAGCACAATATACAAGGTCTTTCAACTTCGTTGGAACATTATGTCTACGCCACGGGTGTATCTTTTTGCTGCGTAAGCTGCATGAACCTTGGAAATGCAGGTGGTTATCTTTTTGATTCGCTACCATCACTGGTTATACAGCTGCCGAAATCGGAAAAGTAATCCGCCATAACTAATCCCTGGCTATTTAGTTTCAAAGTGGCATTAGGCGATACTCAGTCTTGCAGCATGACTTTGCACGTTGAAAGTGCAAAGCACGTACCGTATGTGGCAACAGCACTCGTTAGTCTATCAAGTGCGCTTTGCACGTCCTCCATACATTCGAACAGACACGATATCAATAGCGTACCCTAAATCACACAGCTTTCCTCCAACCGCCCACTCAATATCTACGTTTTGAAGACCACTTAGTGCATTCTCCAGTGATTCGTCTACATCGAAATTGAACAGGAATGACAAACGGTCTACTTAGTTCGTTGCAAAGGAGTCAGACGTCGAAGTATGACTGAAACCAGCTCGTTGGTGATGATGGGGGTTAAACATCCCGCGGTGGTTTTTACAATCCTATATATATATATATATATATATATATATAAAATATTTTCCGACCTTTATTTAATTCTTTGTCTCCGATATCCGACCCGCTCTCTGACTTTCCACTTGACTCGTAACATTCCACCGTACGGCTTGTTTGTCACTCGCCGAAACTCGTTGCCAACTAACACTGTGTATAGTTCACAGCTAAATAAATTAAGGATTTCTAAGCCTTGTCAAATTCCTAATAAGAAGGGTCTTTAATATGAGGATTCTGGTGCATGTGAGTTGCGAAATCCGGATCTTAGTATTATAGACCACCTGAGTACAGCGGGTTTATCATCGAAGTATTTTATTCGCACATCAGGAGATAATGAATCCCGCTCACTGAATTAGCACGGAAGGAGAGTCAAAATAAACAATAAAGCCCCTATGATAGATCGGATACTTGTCAATGGTTGTGTAAAAAGAGATGAAATGTTTAATTGTTTATCTACCTGTGGTGCATGAGACAGATAACTATCCTTGTTGTGATCCATCTGAAACCTATTACTTTGAATGTAACCTTTGAAAAAATGGAACCCACGATTGGATATTGTAAAAATTGTGCATGTTCTCTACGGCAGGCGTTTTATAGTATATTTTACACTGCATACCGTTTTTAGGGGGATAAGTCCGGTTTATGATTTGATTCCAAACCAAATATTACCTGGTTTCCGAACCAGACCCTTTGGTCCGGTAACCCTAAATTAAATCTTGATTTTGCTGCGATTCGTTAGGCGGTTGGTTTAGCGACTAATCCTGACCTTTTGCTAGCATACATCCGTTCAGTTTGTCTGTTTCAATTAAACTTTGTCGATACTTTTTCGGCCACCTACGGAATTGTCTACTACAAAACATTTATCGTCCCTATCTCATTCACTCATCTCGTATCAACTGTCCAATGACATCGGTTCCCAATATCGTCACTAAATGGGCCATTAGTATGATAAGTGAACTGTGGTCACTACCTGATTCCATGACCTCTTAACAATGAAATCGTTTTTCAGCATTTAAATGGTTTCAGGTGCCGTATTGATTTGAATCACCTTGTTTTCTGTTACAACTTTTCCATCCCCGAAAAGTATTGTTTCCCGTTCATTTTGTGAACATAGGATGGCATCCACTTGTGCATTTCTTCGAGAGACCGAAAAAATATATCTGATTGGATAATTTTACCACGTATACCCTGATGTACGATGAGGTTAACACGTTCTTGCTTTAAGAAAATTTTTTAATCTAGCCCTCAACTGTCAGGAGTTTTTATAAATCGGTTCTACTACGCAATAGGTCAATTATTGGTCGCTATTAGTCGTTTGCATAATAGTCCACATTTCTAGCTCCCAGGTAAATTTCGCAACACATTTGTTCACAATAGACAACAAATTGTTTTCATTGCGTTGCCCTGATCGGAGTAAATAAGAATATAACTCGGTGACACGCTGGAGTTCTTTAGTCGCTCACGCACGGCAGAGATCGATAAATAAACGAAGGTTTCGAAAACACGGATGAACTGTTCATGATCACCTAATTCACGTTGAAAGACGTCCAACGAACTTGCATAGTATTTTTTAGAGAATCTAATGACATCCATTGTGTGCATCAAGCAGTTTGGTGTTCGTTCCGATGCCAAGAGATTGAAACAAAAATTTGCATCTCTTTCTGTACTCGGTGTTTTTTTTAAACAACAGTGCTGTTGTAATTTTCGCGAACCGCCTGACTCGTGAGCACTGGAACTATAGACCTTTGCCACGTGTGATTTAAGACGGCAATGTAAAGCCTGCATCTTGATGTGGTGTCATGGCTTGCGCACCTCCTGTGAGCTATATCAGATGGTTTCTCACTTCCATTGATCCCATCATGCCTGAACGGTAAATTGTTAGAGACCACTAGAAGTCCGTTCTTATAAGGCCAACTAATTTTGGACCTCCTGCGTTCCTTCGACTATCCCGCCTCTTGAGAATTCACTCCAACTAATGATTAGGTCGAGAAGTTTACCGGTCAAAACTTCCCGCCAAAGAGACGTTGAAGAGCGTTATCTGAGATTATTCATTGAGCAGTTGCCGTTCCCCCAAGCTGCGCAACCCCCAACTTATAATATGTTTTCCCTTCTGCGTACCTCCCGTTTCATTGGGCA